GATTTGTTTTGGTAGTATTTTGTTGAAGATTTTTGCATTTGTGTTCATCAGGATTGTTGGCCTGTAGTCTTTATATTTGTTGTGTCTTTGCCAGGTTTTGGCATCAGGATGATGCTGGTATCAGGAAGAGTTAGGGAGGAATCCTTTCTCCTCAGTGTTTTGGAATGGTTTCAGTCAGAATGGTACCAGCTCTTCCTCATATGGCTGGTACGATTTGGCTCTGAATCCATATGTGTCAGGGTATTTTTTGATTGCTAGTTGTTATTATTATTATTATTACTGACTCAATTTAGTAACTCATTACTGATCTGTTCAGGGTTTAAATTTCTTCCTGATTCAATTTTTGGAGGCTATATTTTCCCGGGGATTTATTCATTTCCTCTAGATTTTTTAGCTTGTATGTATGAAGACGTTCATGGTAATCTCTGAGGATCTTTTGTATTTTTGTGGGATCGGTTATAATATCACCTTTATCATCTCTGATTGAGCTAATTTGTACCTTCTCCCTTTCATTTGTTACTTTTGCTAGTAGTCTATCAATCTTGTTTATCCTTTCAAAAATCAAACATTTTATATCATTGAATCTTTGTATGGTTGTGTGGGTATGAATTTAATTTAGTTGTGCTCTGATTTTAATTATTTTCTTTCTTTTGCTAGCTTGGAATTAATTTGATCTGGTTGTTCTAGTTCCTTTCGGTGGAATATTATTTTGATATTTTCTCTTTTTTCGATGTAGGCATTTAGCCCTATAAACTTTTGTCTTAACACTGCTTCACAGAGGTTTTAGTATTTGTGTCTATTTTCATTTGTTTCAAAGAATGTTTTGATTTCTTCCTTAATTTTGTTGTTTACACAAAAGTCATTTCAGGATCAAATTGTTTAGTTTTCATATACTTGTGTGGTTTTGATAGTTATTTTTTGCATTGATTTCTATTTTTATTCCATTGTGATTTGAGAAGATGATTGGCATGATTTTTATTTTTCTTTGAATTTATTAAAACTTGCTTTATAACTGAGCATGTGGTCAATCTTAGGGCATATTTCATATGCATATGAGAAGAATATATATTCTGTGGTTGTTGGGTGGAGTATTCTGTAGATGTGTTTTAGTGTCAATTTGTCAAGTGTTGAATTGAAGTCCAGAATTTATTTGTTAGTTTTCTGCCTTGACGATCTGTCTAATGCTGTTAATGGAATGGTGAAGTCCCCCACTATTATTTTGTGGCTGTCTAAATCTTTTCCTAGTCCCAGAAGTAATTGTGTTATGAATCTGGGCTCTCCAGTGTTGGGTGCAAATATATTTAGGATAGTGAAGTCTTCTTGTTGAATTGAACCCTTTGTCATTATGTAGTGCCCTTCTTTTTCCTTCTTCACTGTTGTTGGTTTAAAGCCTGCTTTATTTGATATGAGAATAGTGCCCTTCACTCTTTTTTTTTTTTTT